AGAGAAAGAGTGAGAGAGAAGTTCTATATATATATATATATGTATAAATATGTATATTATATTTATATACATTATATCACCAGCTGGTGGATATGGTGAGAGAGTCTGTGTTCACCTACTACAAGGTCAACACTCACCCGGGATGCACTGACAGAACAGCACAGAACTTCAGGTAACTGAGCACTCTGACCTCACTCCCTTGTCTGTCAGTCGGTCTGCCTGTCTGTCTGTCTGTCTGTCTGTCGGTCTGTCTGTCTGTCGGTCTGTCAGTCTGTCCGTGTGTGGGTGGTTGGCGGGGGGCTTTTGAACGGCTTGCTCCTTCTTTCCTATCAATCATTTTATATCGTTCTTATCTCTCCTCTTTCTTTTTTTATGTTTGTCACTCTCTTGTGAGACCTCTAATTTTTTTCCACTTTTACGACCTATTTGTGTTGCAAGTGCCGTAAAACTCTTACTAAAACTAAACTAACCTTGAGTGTAACTGCGCCATAGAGAAAAAAAGATCGCATTTTTTTCGCCGGTGTTACTGCTCTAGACCAAAGGTCTTTGACCGTCTTTGACTTTCTGACACAGGCAAGGAATGGCGTCGGTAGCCTTGTGGTTAGGCTATCGGACTCACAATCGGTCGCTTTTAAAACAAGGGGGCTATCCCGAAAAATGCTGTTCTGAGAAAATTGAAGGTAAAATTTTGCCCCTTATTCAGTTTCTTAAAAAAAACAACCAAGGAAAGTTTTCTCTATAACCAAACAAATTTACACTCCAATGAATCCAAACTCCTATGGGTAGGGCAATGCCCACTTTTGGTGTAGGTCAAGATTTCTGAAAAAGAACCCGAAATCCGGGTCAGCCCGCATGTCCTTAATAGCGACCAATCGTGAGATTGCAGGTTCGGGAGTTCGAGCATCATCTGGGTCCGACGTTGTGTCCATGGGAAAGTCACTTCACACGAACTTCCCACTTGGCTCGGCCCTTTCTAAGATGGACGTTACACTCAAAAGTCCCGCCTCTTAAATAACCTAACAGTGTTGACAGTGGCGTTATAAACCGATGCCATTTCACCATTTTTTTTTCACAGGCGAGAATCAATTTGATTCTTCTATCCAAACTGCAAAGTGTTCAAACTGAAGTCTTTTTCTTGAGAACCTCCGTCATTTACCGTCCGTTAAACGAAAAGACGTGCCCGGATCTTTGGTCTTATTTAAATGTAGGTATTTTTAATCCCCCATCGACACAATTTAGAGCATCTAGGATTATAATACATGTACAATATAATATACTATACTATGATATATTATAATATAATATAA